AAACAGGAAGTGCACAGGTATCCAGAAGACACACCTGGAGCTCAGGTATGCGAAGCCTGGAGCCAGCTCCCTGCCCAGATCCCCGCCCCTAAAGCCACAGAGGGCCTGTCTGGGAACTTCATTCCCCTGCAGGCCCTTAGCCGGGCTGACTCAGGAGGCAGGCATCCCACGCTATTTCCCCAGACTCTGGACGACACACCAGGCCTAAGGCCTGTGCAAGTCCAAAACGTTTGAGACCTAAGTGTGATCATCATTGTAAGGAAATGTATCCATTCCAAATAGAAGAGCGTGAAACACAAAATTGCTATTTGCGGACATTTCTCCAGAATGGGACCTTTGAAGGTCCTTAAAGATGCTGTTACATCTGAAAGCAATGTACAGCTTAGATTTTCTCGTATCCTAAGAATCTCCACCTTTCCTGATTTTAAAGCACACAGTATTCCCCTTGTTCTATTTCAACAACTGTCCATGGAGGCAGCAGTCAAGAAATCAAAAGATGCACTGCATTGGGCAAATCTGTTGCAAAAGGTCTCTTGAAAGTGTTAAAAGGCAAAGATGCTTCTTTGCAGACTAAGGTGCACCTGACCCAAGCATGGTATTTCAGTTGCCTCATAAGTATGTGAAGGAGCTCTGGTGGTGCCGTGGCTAAGGCATTTGGCTGCTAACCAAAAGGGCTGTGGTGCAAACCCACGAGCGGCTCTCATTTTTCCCTGTGGGACAGTTCCACTCTGTCCTATAGTGTCGCTATGAGTCAGAATCGACTGGATGGCAGTGGGTTTGGGTTATATGCATGTGAAAGTCAGACAACAAATAAGGAAGACCAAATAATTATTGATGCATTTGAATTACGGAGTTGGTGAAGAATATCGAATGTACCACGGGCTGCCAGAAGAACAAACAAATCTGTGTTGGAGGAAGTACAGCCGGAATGCTCCTTAGAAGCCAGGAGGCAAGACTTTGTCTCTCGTACTGTGGTCGTATGGTCAGAAGGGGCTGGTCCCCGGGAAAGGATAGCATGCTTGGTAAAACAGAGGGTCAACGAAAAGGGGCAGACCCTCGATGAGATGCCTTGACCCAGTGGCTGCAACAATGGGCTCAAGCAGAGCAAAGGCTGTGAGAGTGGCGCAGGGTCAGGCCGTGTGTCAGTCTGTTGTACACGGGGCTGCTGTCAGTTGGAGCTGACTCGACGGCCCCCGACAACAACAAGAATCCGCAAGTGTCACATAGCTGAGGAGCCATGGACGTTTGTAAATTAAATTCATGAAATCTGCAATGTTCTTTCACCCAGAAGGCCACTTGACTCGCTCCCTCAAAATCCTTCTAGTCCTTGCTCAATGACAGCATCCTTGGCCACTCTATCAAAAATGTGAACCACTCCACCCAAACCTTCATATCCCACCCCTGGTTGAACGTTAATGCTTAGCACTCTCAAACCTACTCCAAGCCCAAAACAGAAAAACGCCAACCAGTAGCCATCGAGTCATGACTCATGGTGTCCCCATGTATGTCAGTGTATGTGCCTCTTAGGATTTTCAATGGCTGGGCGCTTTGGTGGCTTAGTGCCTAAGGCACTTGACTGCTAACCAGAAGGCTGGCTGTTCAAACCCACCAGCCACTCCTCGGAAGGAAGACTGGGCAATCTACTTCCACAGAGATACTGCCTCAGAAACCCAAGGAGGGGGCGCTATGAGTTGTATCTGACTCAACAGCAGTGAGTTTGTTTTGTTTTGTTTTGTTTAATGACCTTTCTGGAGCAGATCACCAGGACTTTCTTCTGAGGCATCTCTGCATGGGTTGGAACCATCAACCTTTCGATCAGTAGCCAAATGCTTAACCATTTGCACCTCCCAAGAACCCCTTGACCCACGCCATCATCTGCTTTTTTGTTCATTGCTGTCACTCTTCCCCCCAGAACATCAGCTCCTCAAGGCAAACATTTGTCTGTCTTGTTCATTGCTGGGTCCCCAGAGCCTGGTATGGAGCCTGGCACACTGGCGGTGCCCTATCAGTATTGGTTAAGTGAATTAGGTAAATGTCTAGGAAACATGGCACTAGGCCACCTTCTCTGATGCCTCCCACTTCATCAGAATTGCATCGCACCTCAAAGCAGTGCAACATTAGCTCTGCTGGCTTTGCAAGATTCCCAGTGTGTGCATGACTGGTTTCAAGAAATTGCAGCCAATTCTAAATTAAACAAGTTACTCCAAAAACAAAAACAAAAATGCATTATTGTCAAGTCAGTTCCAACTCTTGGCAGTGCCGTGTGTTACAGAGGAGAGCCCTCCCATAGGATTTTCTAGGCTGTAATCTTTACAGGAGCAGATTGCCAAGACCCTCCTCCCAGTGCTTCTGGGTAGGTTCAAACTGCCAACCCTTAGATTAGCAGGGGAGCACGAACCAGTTGCATGACCCAGAGGGACCTCGGTTTGCTCACAGTCAGATATGTACAGATATAGAAATACAGTTCA